AGTTTTATCTTTATAATTTGCAGCCATGTCTATGACATTTTGAGGTAATACTCATTTATTTTATGAAATATGGCCAGTTTTTTTTTCCCTTGTCTACAGAGGTAACGAATGCCTGTGTTCAGCTCGCTTTTTCTCTTGTCTCCAGCCCATGGAATGGTATCAACCCACATTTATGGTAGGTATTCTCACCTCAATGAATCTATTCTAGTTATACCTCAGAGTCAAGGCTAGAAATTTGCTTCCATGGTGGTTCTACATCCACCAGTTGACAATCACGATTAAGAATCATAGAGTCCTTCCTCCATTGAATTTTTTTTTGCATGTTTATCAAGTATCAACTCAGGAGCTGTGGCGATGGCTCGCTGGGTTAAGGTCTTGCTGTGTAAACATGAGGACCGAAACTGGCCCCTAATTACCCGCTCAGAACTCAGTGTTGCTGTACTCATCTGAAACCTCAAAGCGGGGTGGGGGTGGGGTGGGGGGTGGGGGGGTGGACGGGCAGAGACAAGCAGATCACAGGTCTTATTGGCTAGCTCATCTATCGGAACTAGTAAGACTCAGGCTCATTGAGAAACCTTGATTACTCCACCCCAACGCCCTAGGCTAATAAAATGGAAATGATAGAGAAAGACACTCCGTGTTGACCTTTGACCTCCGCGTGTGTATTCAGTGGTGAGCACACATGTATGCATATGCATAAGCCCCCTCCCCTGCATAAACAAAATCAATTCAGTATGTGCATTGAATGTTTCTGAGCTCGGTGTTATTTCTCACTGATCTGCATGTCTATATAATCATTACAATCGCACTATCTTGATTACAGCAGCTGTCAGTCAGCCTTACGCGGCAGAGATTCCTCCAAGCTTACCTTGTCAACACTGTTTCAACTATTCCAGGGTTTGGGCTTTTTCCAACAAATTTTAGAATGTTCTTCTCTATATTTGATGCAAAACACTCATGAGATTCTAGTAGTAAATTTCATAAGCATACAGATGAGTTTAGGGAGAGTTGACTTCTTAAATATGTGGAGAATTCTAATCCATGAACATAGTACATGCCTCCATCTCTTAACGTCTTTGGGTTCTTTCTTCAATATTTTGTAATTTTGAGTATACAGAATCTATACATGCTTTTAAAAAACATGTCTGAGCATTTTATTTTACTGTTATTATCAATGGTGCTGTTTTTTAAAAACTGGCTTCTATACATTCATTTTTGGTCTACAGCTCCATGGTTTTGTATGTTGATTCTTATATAACCCTGATGAACTCATATGCTGGTTCTAACAGCCGTGTTACAGACTCCTGGGACTTTACACCTGACATCATGTCGTCTATGAAGGAGACTGACGCTTCTGTCTCCTCCTGTCTCCTCTAAGTCCCCTGTCTATGCTCCTGTTTCATTTCAGAGCTCAGGACTCCCACTACTGCATGATGAATAAGAGGTATTAAAGTAAAATATCTACTCTGTTCCATATTCCAGGGGTTAAACCTACAATCTTTTAGCATCAAGCTGTAGGCATTTGTAGATTATCTTAATTAAATTTAGATAACTATCCTCTATTCACACTAATGGGTATTGGAATTTAACTAACGGTGTCCAAGAAAAACAATGCATCAATTACCATAATCACATGAGTTTTCTTTGTTGACATATTGAAATATCTTGATTGATTTTTTAGTATGTTGACCTAACTTTATTTATATACCTCAAAACTCCTTGATCATATTTTAATTCATTTCTGAATTAAAATAGTTTATATTTTGAAAAGTTTTGATTCTAGATGCATAGTTGATATTACCTGATAGTTCTCTTTCTTCTATTATTTTTGTCTGCTTTTGGTATCAGTGTGATACTGGTCACATAAAGGACTTGACAAAGCATTTCTTCCTCCTGCCTTTTCTGGAAGAGATTTTGTAAACTTGATGTTAATTTCCCTTTAAATGCTCAGGAGAATTGCCTGTGGGTTCCAATACCACGCTACAAATGCCAACACCGTGAGACCAACATGAAGAAGAAGCAGCCACTTCCTAAAGTAATAGTTATCAAGCAGGACATCACTATGACTCCATCTTTCTCCTTCAAAACGGAAATGGCTACAAGCCCTAGCAACGTATGAGCAGCGAGACCTACTAGGGCAGTACACAACATACTCAGCGGTTTAAGCAACCTTAGTTCTCCGCTTCATGTCTGCAGTCAAGGTGTCTGGTGTGGGTCGGCTGCTTCTCTGCCCTGGGGAGCGTCTGCTTCAGGCGCAAGTTACAGTTAGTTATTTTCTCCTGTGTCTTCTCACACTCTCTTCTCCATAGATGCGCGCCCCTGTATTTCAGTTCCCTTAAGGTAGCAAATGATTTTTCATTTTAAAGGAATTAAAGGCTTTGTTTTCGCTCAATTATTTCTATAAAGACTGTGCCTCCAAACAGTGCCCGACTTTAAGGGCTCGGACTCCAGCACACGGGCCGTGCATTGTTGTTGTTTCTTTGCTGACTTTGTTTTGCTTTTGGGGTGGGGAACAAATTTCAATCATCTTACTCTCTGAAGCTAAGCAATAATGAACAACAACAACAACAAAAATACTTTTTGTTCCTTGAGTTCACACTGTCCTTGAAATTGCCAGCCTCCTCATGCTACCTGAACAAGAAAGAGAAGCCCCATCCCTCAGAGCCTGGCTTCTACGTGTCGAGGTCCCATCCCTTCCTGATTTTTACACTGAACTCTGGATCTGTTATCAAGCGCCCTGAACTGGAGCATACGAGAGCGGAGGGCAGAGTTTTATTAGGACTACAGCAGGCAGGGAAACAGAGAGACACACACAGATGAGGAATGGCGCGCGCGGCTCCCAGCTGAGGGCAAGCTGGAGACACCGCTATCTCACAAGGGAGCAGGGAACTACTCGGGGAGCCCAGCTGTGACACACAGACACAGCAAGGACGGCAGGCACCGACTTGGCAAGGCCAAGGGGAGACGATCACCACCATGCCTTCAGCCTCACCACGTCCCCATCTCCTGAGCTAAGTGGCAGGATGAGGTGGAGCAGGGTGACAGTGGCTGTGCCTAGCTCTGCTCTAAACTCTAGGGGCCATGGAGCTAAATCTTCACCGAGATCAACGAGATGGAAGCTTTATGAACAGCATGTAATCTTCCTCATCCCGGACAAACAAGCAAAGGTGAGGAGCTATGGGCTGAGACCAGCGTTGAGGGAGCAACCGCCTCACAGGAAACAGCAGTGTGACCGACCAAAATAGAGGAAAGTGAGTGGGGGAAACTGACCTGAGGTCAGGCCCGGTCCTCATTGAGTAAGAGGCTCAGAACATTAAAAAACGTACATGTGCCACCCGCCAATTCCTGCTGTGCCACCCAGTATCCTGTGACAGAAACCTGCCCCTGTCATCAGGTGGCACACGCCTTTAATCCCAGCACTCAGGAGGCAGATAGATGTCTGTGGGTGCAAAACCAACCTGGGCTACAGAGCGAGTTCCAAGACCATTAGAGCTGTTACACAGAGAAACCCTGTCTTGAAAACCCAACAAAAAAACAAACAGAAAAAAACAAAGAAGAAACTATATAATTTAAATTACTAAAGTAACTATAGACATTAGGACTGAGATGTAATCTAAACCATTACTCGGGTAATTTGCTTTCTAACTGAGATATCAATTTTTAGCCTAACACTAACATACTCTTAACGTGAAAAATAATGCATACACATGCTTCTGTGAACAATTATAATTGCCAATGTGACAAATAAGTAGAAATGGGATGTGATTTTTCACAGTCATAAGCATGTATCTTATATCACGGTGTGATAAGCACAGATTACAGGAGTTAGCTTAATGAAGTTAAACTTATTTTACTAGGCAAAACCATGGTTGCATTTAGCTTTAAATACAAAAGTTGCTTTATTGGCCGCACATATTCATTTCCAGCTGTGGTCTATGTGTATCAGGGTACAGCAAACAAAATCAACACACCAACAACTGGCTTTCCTGCATTGCCTCACGTATGCCAAAGCCATGTAATGAACAAACAAACAGCTGTCAGAGGGGTTTGAGAGCCTTCTACCTCTTTTAGGGCGGATTTGTTCTATTTTAGAGACAGGGTTTCCTCTGTGTATGTAGCTATGGAGACTGTTCTGGAACTAGCTCTTGTAGACCAGGCTGGCCTCGAAGCCACTGAGATCCCCCTGCCTCTGCCTCTTGAGTACTGGAATTAAAGGCCTGTGCCACCACTGCCCAGTTCAAAGTGGGGGTCTTTTACAGCCAAAGAAGAAACCCACTCTGAGTTGGAACCTTCTCTCGAGATACCAGTAAAACCCAATTCTCACGAGTTCTGTCGGAGGAGGCCAGCTGAGCAGTGTTGTGGAGGAGGAGAGGTTGTCCAGGGATAAGGTGAAGGATTTGAAAGGCAAGTCAAATGCGAGAGATGTAAACTCTCCTCCTGGCGAAAGGGCGAGACGTGGGAACTCAGAGGAGAGGCTGGCTGGCCGGCTGAGGCGCCGGTTCCAGCTGTCAGCTCCACCACAGTACCGAGGGCAGCCCTCCAAAAGAGTAAGACAAGCCACGGGCGCTAGATTAACGCTTGCTGACGGGACTGTAGGTTGTTATAAATAAACGTTGTGGCTTTTTAGATGCCCTCAAGTAGGATGCCAACCAGTTGAAAGCAGACGAAGAAAGCCTCCTTCTGAGGGAGGAAGTAATAGTTACCACTGATTAGTTTCAAGCACAATTTCAGAAGCTCACCTAATATGGGGAAAGAGTAAGTCCACGGTCCAATGTACCAGTGTGTGTGCACGTGCATGTGTGCGTGCATGCGTGCATGTGTGTGTAAATTCTCTCAGGGTGAACAAACATATTCCTAGATTTTACCTCTAGAGAAACAGCCTACATTGTGGTAGTAGTTTTAAGATAATCAATACATTGCTCTAAAACCTTCATTTTTCTGTAGCAGAACCATTTTTCCAAAAAAAAAGGCAGTGTTGCGAGGCAGGGCCTGCTTCCTACCTGTGCTGGTGTTGGTGCCAGGGCAAGGGCAAGCGCTGGCCAAGAGTGGGCCTGAGCCCGGGGCTGGGGGCGGAGGCTGCCCATCGCTCAGCTGCTTGACCCGCTTCCGATGCGATTTGCCATCATAGTGGACCTGGGCCTGGGCCGCAGAGTTCAGCTGGATGTTGCACACGTCGCAAAAGGAGAAGAGGATCTTCTTTTTCTCCTTACTGCTCTGGTCCCCAGGCCGGTCGTTCTTTAGCCCCTTCTCTTCAAAGCCCCGCAGGAAAGCTGCCATATTCACGATTCCATCTTCACGATGGCTGTCATGGCTTGAGGAGTGCTGCAGGGCTGAAAGGAACGGAAGCACGAAGTCTATAAATTTATATGTGCTTTCTGGTCTTCCAGGGCTATTATAATTCACTTTTAATGGCTGAGTTCAGCAGATAGGTCTTCAAAAAATCTGGAGCATTTTATATCCCTCTCTGCCTCTCTTTTCTCACCCCTCCCTTCCTCTGTCCTTTGAACTCCTGCCTACCCAGGAGATCTTGGCTAGCAGGGGTTCTCTCCAGGGAACCCATTCTGAACCCAGAGTAAGAACAAGGTCTGGTCATGGGCAGCCAGAGACTGAGACGGTTTTCCTTCATGGTGTCTACCACATTGCAAATTCCATATCCAGGGATATATTTATCTTGTGTCTGTTTCCTTCACTAAGTATAATCTCTGTGAGGTCAGCAGCCTCGTCTCTGGGTGTGTTTCAGACCTAGAACTGAATCTTTTTACATAGTAGGCATATGAATATCTGTTCAAAAAAGAAAGGAATGTTTTCAAACCAAAGAACCCATTAAGACAAAAATGAACACAAAGTGCGTGTGTGTGCGCGCACACACACATACATGCACACGCACACGCACACACACATACACCTTCACACAGGCACACAGACTAGGATTGACAAAGACTAAAGCACAGCATGGCCACAACTTACACTGAATTGTCTTCTAAAAGCCCCTTCAGAAGTCTGCCGTCTGGAATTTGCACATATTTTCTTGTAGATGTAGTGAAGCAAACTGTTTGTAAATTTCCAGATTAGCCCATAAATATCAATTTAATCTTTGATAAACTTGAAATGTAGAGCATCTGAAATAAAAAGAAGAGAGATACCAAATTATAGTAAAGGGGTGCGTATGTTAAGAGTAACGCAGACTCCAGCAGAATTATATTTTAATATGCCAATCTTTTCTTTCAATTATTAGATAACAAAGAAGAATGATCTCCCTCCTAAGGGATTTCAAAAGGAATTTTTCAGTACCTTGAGACCCTCAGTTAGTGAAAGTTACCTTGCCTTTTTATTTATTTATTGGACAGTTACACTTTAAATTAGGTTAAATGTTCATTTCAGCTGATCCAGAATTGCTGGCATGTTCATGCCATCCATGTAAGTGTGCCAGCGTTTGGTCTCTTGGGCTGGGTGAGGAGTAAGCCACTCTTCGAGAAGATGGGTTGTATACAGGCACAGTGACAAACACTGCAGCACCACACTCAAGGGACTAGGGAAGGAGCATTTCAAGTTCAAAGCCAGGATGGGCTATATACCAAACCTCATCTCAAAAATCAAAAATGAAAATAAAAACAAGGACAAACGACCAGCCAAGAAGGATGAAAAAGTCATATAAAAGAAGAATCAGGACTCATAATGACTTGCAATAGATTTTTGTGTATGGGATAAACTCAGGGGATTAAAATATATCGATGGCTTTGAGCGACAGTTTCATTCAAGTTGGCTTTGGGCTCTCTGGAAAGAAGGAGAAATGAAGCCCAAGTTCACAAGTGGTTGTGCACAGGCTCAATGAGAACTCAGACGGGTATGACCATCAAGACAGAAGTTGATTCCACATGCAGTATGCCAACTATATCTTCAACTTTACCCATATACCCAGCAGTGAGGACAGTTCACATCTTCTTACTTGATACAGAAAACATACTCAGCCCATGTAGAATCTTACCGGGTGCCACCATTTTAAGAGACTCTATTCCTTAATCAGTTTTCTTCCTTTAAATTTACACCCACAGGCTGGCGAGATGAAGCAACAAGTAATGACGCCAAGCCTGACAACCTGGGTACAATTCCCAAGACTTGCACATTGGAAGGAGAGAACTGACTCCACCTCCACACATGAAATGTGACATGCTTCCCCTATAGCTAAAGGTTGGGGGAGTCCTACATAAATTATGCATAAATAACAAGTAAGCAATTCCCATACCTAAGCTGGAAAAATGAATTCTTATTAAGATGTGATTAATATGTGATTAAGATTGAATTACACATATACTACATATTACACATATTACTCAGAGCTATGCTGGTGTCGGTCACCTTTCTTAGCTGGACATTGACTTACAATGATCAGGTAGGAGCTCAAGCAAGAACGAACCTCTTAATTAATATTTCAGTTGAACCCTGACATGCTCACTGGACAAGGTAACTTTGTCCATCCCAACCACCAGGCACAGAGTGGCTCTCAAGCCTACTACCAACATGTTTCTGACCTGGCCTTCAAGGCTCTTAAGGCATGCACCCCACGGGACCCTTCAGCTTACTTCTGCAGTTAATGGTCCCATCACTGCCCTCTTCTCTTCCCTGAATGCCCTCCTTGTGGACAGGCAGTGCACCAACAACACACCCGAAGGCCCCAAAGTAGATAGATCTTGATGGGGGTATGACTGCCCAGGCAAAACCAGGTAAGAAATGTGCAACTGGCCATGGACCAGCCTGCCTCCACCAGAGAGGGAATAACTCAGGATGGGTAATGTATGTTCTCCCTTTTCTTGCTCTTATTGCCCCTCTAAACAAACTGATTTATCAGAGGAAGAAACTGGCACTTTATATGCCTTGATGAGACTCAGTTGTGACCCTTGCTTTTCTTCATTTTGCATGACCCCTTTTGAGGTGAGGAATATTCACCATGCTAGGAGCTGACTAAATATATTATGGGCCCATGATCAACTGAGTTTTTAGATTACTCATTACAACTGACACAAAAAAAAATCAATTAGATCAGATAAGGGCAGAAGTTATGGCCTTCGTCTATTCATTTTTTGAAAAAGTTTGGCATAGTATAAAAAGGCTATTTGATTCCTCCTGGATACTCACATATGTCTTAATTGGCAAGGTATAATTGTTAATCCTTATTCTTTTTAATTGCCTCCTGCAGCATTCTGATAGCAGTGGGCAGCAACTGAGGTGACTTTTCAGTGTTAATGGCTCTTAGGCATCCCTCTCTCAGTCATCCACAGGAGGTTAGCAGGCCTGGTTATCTGAAACTCAAAGGCCATGCCTAGTCCCCCAACCCTGGCAGCTCTCCAGGAATGAATGCTCTTCAAGGGATGGTACTCGATGATGGGTAAGAGCCTGTTCAGCAGGCCAGTCTAAGACAGACACAGTCCAGTCCCTCAGCTGTCCTGAGGCAGGGTCAACAAGGCCTGAGAAAAGAACTCAGGCTCCTGCTGAATGCCCACGCACTAAACAAAAAGGGTGGATATGTAGGAAGATAAGCTACAAGGTTGAGAGATGAGCCAACTTGGAGTCTGCCTGAGGGCCTAGCAACAGGCATGGTCAGAGGTCCTGATTGTGCCTAGTCAATGAGGGGCAACCACGCAATGTCAATGAACTGGAACGCAGCCTGGGTGCTGGGAGGAGGAGTATATAAGGGCTCCTCGTTGCTGAATACATAAGTCTGCTGTTTGTCTTTTGCCTGACTCCTGTCATCTATGCCATTGATGCCACACCGTCTTACCCCTCCCCCGAGCGAGTAAGGACCCAGCAACACAAAAGTACCTATAAGTACTTTTGGTTTTAGACTTCAAACCCACAACCTCGTCAGAACATCAGTGGCATATGAAAGCTATGTTCAAACTTTATCATACCCTCTCTTTAAATATCTAAATGGTAAATGAGCTGAATTGTAATGAGGGAATTAATGTTGCACCTCAGTGAGAGAACACCAATCCACAGTAAAGCAAGAAAAACAGGGACTTGTGAACCTCATAAAACTAGACTAGTCAGCAGACCCCTCAGCATCACTAGATCCCACTCAAGCAACTATTAAGACCTGTGAGTCTCCTAAAGGCTCTCAACACTTTCATCTGAAAATGTGAACTCTCTGAAGGTCTCTGGCTTTGCCCATCTTGTAAATAAACACAGTGTTTCATAGAAGCAAGGAGTCAATCATATTACTCTTCCTTTATATTTGAGAGTGAAACAACGGCCCTTTTGCATTATAAACAGTAAGCCAGCTGCCTCTGCTTTTGTGGCTACTGTAATTTGTCCCAGAAAGAAGTTACACTTTACATTGGTTTACTCATGTGTACTCTAGGCAGAAAATCGGGAGTCTGGAAAGTTTGTGCCTTCTCCTAGAGCAGCACACCTCAGGAATCCTTCAAGCCCCAGAACCACATCCCTGGGCCACTTTGGCAAGGGTGTGATGCCTTAAGCAATATTTGCCAACTCCTAGGTACCAGTTCAAGATCTTGTTTCAGACACCACATTTCTTTGACTTCTTAGGAGAAACAAAGCTGGTTCTCACTAACGTCACTTGCAACCAGAGTACATTTAGTCACAGAGGTCTTGGGAAAAGGACCTGGAGGTGGCAAATATCAGAGTCTTGACATCCGCATTGGATCCAAAATGATGTAATGCCCAGGCTCACACCATGTGTGAAGTGATGGTGTTTATAATGTCAACTCTCTGGGTAAGGGTAAAGTTAACAGTTGAGTCTAAGTGGAAGAAGAGAGAAAAATCTCACTTGCTAATTTAATTGATTTTTATCGGACTATCTTAGATGGCACGCTTTGTATGTATGCCCTTCGGTGCTGCTGGTTTTTGAGAGCAGTAAGCAATAGGCTGCTTTAGGTGAACCAGGTGTCTCTGGGGGCAGGACAAGGAGAAGCAAATGGACAAAGTGTTCTACACTCTCGCTTTGTGTTATTCTGTGAGATGGCTTACACTTTAGCCTCCAAGAGAAAACAGCATATTCTAATGCAAGTTACAGGATGAGAAGCTGGGTGTGTGAGTTTCTGCCTTCAGAAAAAAGAACTGAAGGACCCAAACTGGATGATCAACATGTATCAGAATGATTTTAAATGGCCAAGAGGTGATTTTATTGGGCAAACTTTTCTAAGCTAAAATCGTTTTTTATTTATTTTCTTGAGCTCTACATTTTTCTCTGCCCTCCCCTCTCTTCCTCTCTCCTCCCAATTCAATCCTCTCCCATAGTCCCCATGCTTCCAATTTACTCCGGAAATCTTGTCTTTTTCTACTTCCCATGCAGATTAGATCCATGTATGTCTCTCTTAGGGTCTTCTTTGTTGTCTAGGTTCTCTGGGATTGTGATTTGTAGGCTGGTTTTCTTTGCTTTATGTTTAAAAAACACTTATTAGTGAGTACATATAATAATTGTCTTTCTGGGTCTGGGTTACCTCACTCAATATGATGTTTTCTAGATCCATCCGTTTGCCTGCAAATTTCAAGATGTCATCATTTTTTTCTGCTGTGTAGTACTCCATTGTACAAATGTACCACATTTTCCTTATCCACTCTTCGGTCGAGGAGCATTTAGTTATTTCCAGGTTCTGGCTATGACAAACAAGAACCAGAGTCCTTGTGGCATGATTGAGCATCCTTTGGGTATATACCCAAAAGTGGTATTTCTGGTATTGAGGAACGTTGTTTCCTAATTTTCTGAGAAACTGCCATACTGATATCCAAAGGGGCTGTACTAGCTTGCACTCCCACCAGCAATGCAAGAGTGTTTCCTTTACCCCACAACCTCTCCAGCATAAGTTGTCATCAGTGTTTTCGCTAAGATAAAATCTTATCTTTAGGACCAGTCCCGTGTGCAGAGCCATTCAGTGATCTTTATAATCATTTGTAGTAGGCTACAGGCTGCTTCAAAAGCAAAAGTGCATGCTGTATTCTGTAACACAGCATGGCCATGTCCCACCTTCTGAGAAGCTTCTGTGTACAATCTCCCATAGCCACAACCTACAGCTGTCACCTACAGTCCTCTAGGTGCTTCTCTTGTCCCTGCCTCTGCACTCCAAGATCCGTTATTCGCATATCTAGGACGGCACACAG